AAGGTCTATACTTAGACTAATTTGACAGTTGACTTATTCAAATTAAAATAGGATTATATAAAGTTTAAAGTCGTTTTTTAGAGATGTTTAAAATTGTTTAATTAATTTCTCCTAAGCAAAGTATAATTAATGAAATGGACTTTTCAACAACCTAAACTAACTAGTCAAATAAGTATCCATAATAAATTTAAAAAAAAAATACGAAACAAAAAAAATTCCAGAAAATATGATTTTAATAATATTATTTCGTTGTCCACCATAAAATTGACAATCTTTAACGACATTATACTGAAATTCACCGATAGATCTATCACTATGTCATTTTTGCAGCATTAGAATCTATGACAACGAATAATACGATAAATTTGACATTGTTACTCGATTTAAAAATATCTTTGATATATTTTTTTTTTTGGCAGAATCGGTGTGTAAACATGATAGCGCATTTATTTAATGCACCACTTGAAGATGGAGAAACTGCAGTTGGAGTTGGAACAGTTGGTTCTTCAGAAGCCATTATGCTTGCTGGATTGGCCTTTAAGAGAAAATGGCAAAACAAAATGAAAGCCCAAGGAAAGCCCTATGATAAGCCCAACATTGTTACTGGTGCTAATGTCCAGGTATGGTCTTTCACACACATTGTAAAATTTGAAACTACGTATATGTCAGTAGTTTAGTTTTTAAAGATTATGAGTCAAAAATTTGATTGTTATAGTGAAATGTACGTTGTAGAAAAGTCTAATTGTATATATATGGATATACATTGCCAGTATAAACACATTTTGTATCATTAGTGTATATTAACATGTTATCCTGAGATAAGAGGGACTAATTAGTAATTTGAACAGGTGTGTTGGGAAAAATTTGCAAGGTATTTTGAAGTTGAGCTAAAAGAAGTGAAGTTGACTGATGGATACTATGTGATGAGCCCTGAGAAAGCTGTGGAAATGGTTGATGAGAACACAATTTGTGTAGCTGCTATTTTGGGTTCAACTCTTAATGGAGAATTTGAAGATGTAAAGAAATTGAATGACCTCTTGATTGAGAAGAACAAAGAAACAGGGTAAAAATTTCATATCTCTAACATTACTACTTTTATCGAGTTTTTTTGATTGTTAAGTTATAGCACGACTGAATAATACTATTCAAATAGTTTTGGCATGGCCTTCTAGAAGTTTGGTTTTATCAACTCAGATGTTTTATGTCGTCTTTTAGTATTAGCGCAACATGAAAATAAAGGGTGTATACTGAGAGTCTGATGTGTGGGACACATTTACTATCTTAAAATTTTAAAGTTATACCGACTGTTTGGGTCGTCCGCTAGAATTATATATGTATATTGAAAATTAGACTTCGATACATTTATCGTTTTAAGCCTTCCAAGTTATACCAACAAAAAAACATTTAATTACTCTAGTCAGATATCGCGGATCATCTTCAAATATTCAAAGTGGGGTGTAGAGACATGAAAGTAAAAGGGGATGATGTGTATTGAGATGTCGTAGTTCATCTTCTAACATTAACAAACACGAAAAGTCACTTACACGTCTGAATATATATATATTTAATAGTTTTGTAAATTGTAAAACAGGTGGGACACTCCAATTCATGTGGATGCAGCTAGTGGTGGATTTATTGCACCATTTATATATCCAGAACTTGAATGGGACTTTAGATTGCCATTAGTTAAAAGTATAAATGTGAGTGGTCACAAATATGGTCTTGTTTATGCTGGTATTGGTTGGGTCATTTGGAGGAACAAAGAAGACTTGCCTGATGAACTTATTTTTCATATTAATTATCTTGGTGCTGATCAACCTACTTTCACCCTCAATTTCTCTAAAGGTATAATTAATTAATCTCTAATTATGTTCTTAATCCATATGAATTTATTGTTGACAATAATAATTGCATTGTACTAGAAATCAGTCTAAACATTAAAGAGTCTATCGAAAATATTCGAAAATTTGATAAGATTTTAGTATAAGGAAAATATGATGTTCCAACTAGATGAAGGAGTACAATTTTCATTTATATAATTACTCTTATAAATTTGATCATATTTTGCTATATTGTCAATTTGTTGTGCAGGATCAAGTCAAGTAATTGCTCAATATTATCAACTTATTCGTTTGGGTTATGAGGTGAGTACAAGATTAACGATTCCATGTTACTTAGATTCTTTAAAAATATTCTTGTGTATGTGTACGTACGAAATAAAAATACTTGATATTCATATGATTTGATTCGAATACAACTAATATTTTTAAAAGATCCGAATAATATAACTTACTACTATTACTTGATTTGATAGATTATTAGGCTATAGAAACTATATAGTTTCAAGAATTACATGTATTAAAGCTCAAAATTTTGTTATTGCATCTTTGTCAGATCTTCTAAATGATCAATTAAATGATTTAATATGGATGTAATAACATAGAACTTGTGTCAGTACTTTTATCAATATAGTTTAACCTACTGTTAGTGTATAAAAGTTATATATCATTCAAAAATTATATATTTTGAACTCTAGATTAAATTACACACATGTGCCAGATCATCTAAAAGTAGAAATATTATTTGAGACGATCCAACATGATTCTAACGAAATTTTTGAAAAATACGATCAACATATACTTTGCTATCGTTACTATTAGTGTATAAAAATTATATATTTCTTATAAGAAATTACGCGTTTTAAAGCTTAATATTTTGTTATTTTAAACCAGGGTTACAAGAATGTTATGGAGAATTGTCAAGAAAATGCAAGGGTACTAAGAGAAGGACTCGAAAAGACGGGAAGATTTGAGATAGTCTCCAAAGAAGTTGGAGTTCCCTTGGTTGCATTTTCTCTTAAAGACAATAGCAAACATGATGAGTTTGAAATTTCTGAAACTTTAAGGAGATTTGGATGGATTGTTCCAGCATACACTATGCCACCAGATGCTCAACACATCACAGTTCTTAGAGTTGTTATTAGAGAAGATTTCTCCAGAACACTCGCGGAGCGACTGGTAACGTTTCTATTTCTATTTGACTGTTGTTTCAATTTATATGATGGAGTTTACTTAGATGCAATTTTTAAAAGTAAAAAAGAAATATTTTAAAAAATATGTAGTCATGAATATGATACGAATATTTTGTAACTATAATGTGAAGTTTAAAGTTTAAAATATTTTAATATATAAAAACTTTTGATATATATATATATATACATGACTGATATGTATTTGACTAAGCACATTTAAACTTTAATTGATGGAAATATACATATTTTATACATTTGCTTTATTCACAAATTAACTATTTTATTACTTATCTATGTTATGTTAAGTTTAGAGTGTTACTACATGTTTGATGGTAACCATAGTTTTAAAAAATAATTTAAATATAACCTAATTTTGTATACCACTATTAGGGACCAAAATTACACATTTTATATCCATAATTGAATGGCTATAAATGTTATTGCCCCTATTTTTAGACTAAAAAAATGTTTTATTCTTGTTTTAATAGAGTGATAAAAAACAGATTAGGTAGATAATTATTTTTAAATGGCATAAATTTGTTATATTCACTAAAATTGTTTGTATTCAATTCATAACAATATCTTCGGATATCACTTTTAGAAAAATATTTTATAACGTGTTTTAAGTTTTAACCTAATTTTTATATTTTTCGTTCGTTTTTTTTTTTTGAAATAGGTTATGGACATCGTTAAAGTCCTCCACGAGCTCGACATGCTTCCAGCACGTGTCAAAGCTAAGCTCGCCGTGGCCGAGGAGGCGGCCGCGGCGAACGGTATCGACAGCGTGGCACATCATAAAACGGATAGAGAATGGGAGTTACAGGTTACTGAAGCATGGAAGAAGTTTGTTGCTGATAAAAAGAAGAATAAGACTATGGGAGTTTGTTAATTAATTCATAATTATTGTTTATGATATGATGAATTATTTATGAGTTTATGACTTTTTAAGCATTTAATAATGATCTATATTAATCTACAATGTAAAATTGGACCATCATTTTAAAGGCAATTTTTCTTGTGTACTTGTAATATGATTTTCTTGTAACAACTTGTATTTTAATTAATTTATATAGTGAGTGTTTAATTTGAAGTCTTGTTTACTCCATATTTTAAAATATATATAATGTCATGTCACCTTGTTTCCATTAATAAGAAAAAATAAAGAGATATTGAGGAAAAGAAATAATTATACAAACATATTTTTGGTAAATTTTATAAATGAAGTTTGAAAAAAAATAAAAGAATTGTTTTTAATAGAACGTTGGCTTAAAAAATCATTTTTAAAGCAAAAGTACTTGTACATGAATAATATGACAGTAAAATAGCAACATAATAATCAAATAAAATAATAGATTACAATATACATGAAAAATTTATAGATGACGTGACTACTAAATAGCTCTCTACTTCTCTTACACAAAGTGCGACAACACTCGATTATTTACTAGACTTTTATCTTAATCCTCGGCCTTCAAATTTTCCTATCCAGAGTCAAGCCTTTTGCATAAGCTAGAGTTATATCATGTCTTCTCTAATCACGTACCACCCCAAATACTTCAATCTTTGATTACAATTTATGTTACATTCAACTCCTCACGCCTCTTTAATTACTGATTATGCATTGGCATACCTTTTCTCTATATGTTCTCGGAAGTATCTTGATCATGTATCTTCGTTATTAACGATATCACTCTTAGTTTATCCACGCATTCAATTGAACATCCTTATCTTCGGAGTGTTACACTATGTTTGACATAATAATATTTGTCTAAACATCACTATTTAGAACTTACCTTAAAGCTTTGGTAACACGTTCTTGTCAAATGGAAAGAAAAGTTAAAACAAAAAAAACAAAAAAGAAAGAGAGTGACACGTCATTATCCACATGTTATTCCTTGATAGGTCACCATTACGTTTGTTACAAACTCGCTATAGTAGCGCGTATTCACCACTTCCCCCTCTTTCTCTTCTACACACAACAAAGGAAAATTCCACTGTACCTAAAAAGAGAGTTTCAAAGGAAGAAACAATCTTTGGTATTTTTGTTTTCTTCTTCTGTATGTGAGTAAAGAAAAAAATGGCGAGGAAGAGTAGAATGGGGTGTGGGAATTACGCTGTCGTATTGGTGCTTTTGTTCTTTGGGGCTATGAAAGTGAGATCGGATTCATCAGACCATAAGTATAAATCTGGAGAAGAAGTCCCTTTGTATGCAAATAAAGTTGGTCCTTTTCATAATCCGAGGTAACCCTTTTGCCCCTTTTCATATTTCTCGTTAAAGATTTCATTTTTATGAGTTTTTTTGGATTTTGGTATGTTTTTGATATCTGGGTTGAAATCAAGATTTTGTTTTGTGTAGTATTGGGATGATTGTTATTGGGGGAAACTTTTCTGGATTTGCTGAATTTTGGGTGTATTGCTGAGTTTGATCAATATGTATTAGTGGGTGTGAGCTTTTTTTTGGATGTAGTTTACATTTTGCAGGCCTTTTGATATTTGGGGAAAACTCAAGATTTCGTTTTTGGGGAAATGTTGCTGGGATTTGCCGAATTTGGATGTATTACTGAGTTTGCTCAATCTATATTAGTGGGTCACCTTTGTTTCTGAGATTGTGAGCTTTATTTGGATGTAGTTTACATTTTGGACGTGTTGAGTATCTGGGTAAAAATGAGGTTTGTTTTGGGGCAGTGTTGGAATTAAGGGGGAATCTTGTTGGGATTTTGCTGAATTTTGATTTTTGGGTGTATTGCTGAGTTTGCTCAATGTATAATAGTGTGTCACCTTTGTTTCTGAGAATTGCGAGCTTGCTATGTTTGCAGTTTACATTTTGTACGTGTTGCACATCTGGGTAAGAAAACGAGATTTTGTTTTGGATAGTGTTGGAATGAAAAGGGGAATGTAGTCGGTATTTGCTGAATTTCGGGTGTATTGGATTTTGCTTGATGTATATTAGTTGATCACCTTTATTTCTGAGAATTGTGAGCTTGTTTTGGATGTACTTTACATATTATGTGTTGAATATCTGGGAAAAGTCAATATTTTGTTTTGGGTGGTGCTGGATGGAAAGGGTAAATCTTGTTGAGAATTTGCTGAAGTTTGGCTGTAGTGTTGAGTTATCTCGATGTAAATTAGTTGGGTCACCTTTGTTTCTGAGAATCGTGAGCTCCTTTTGATTGTAGCTTGCATGTTGTCTGTGTTCAATATTTGAGCAAACATCAAGAATTTTTTTGGGCTGTGTCGGATTTGAAAATGGGAAAACTTGATGAAAATTTGCCGAATTTTGGGTGTAATGTTGATCTATTTCAATTTTTATTTGCTGGTCATCTTCTGAGAATTGGGAGATTATTTTTTACATTTTGACGTGCTGAATTTCTGAAAAAAATAGATTTGGAATGGATTCTCGGGGAAACTTATATGAGATTTGCTGGATAAACAGTAACTTCCAATATATGTTGATGAGTCTACTTGGTAATTGAGTATTGTGAATCTTTTCATCTGAGAGTATATCTGTATATCTACAATTAAGGAGAAAGACATTGTCCAACGTCTTGGTTCTTCTACATGCTAGATCAAATCTAATGTAGTCCATTTTGTAAGAGCACTATTAAAAGAGAATGGGACAAAGGGCTTTTCTTTTATGCTTTTGATGTTTGGATAAGGGAAGAGTTTTGTGGTGTGCATGCAGTAGTTTTTTGAAAAAGACTTTTTCTACTTCTTTTATCTTGTTTCTGCTCTTATGTTTGCTAAGTTCGTGTCTTGGCACATTAGATATCATTAGCATTTTTTAAGGATATATTCTGTATGTGATTGACCGAAGTTATAGGTGTTTTTATAATGACAAACAATTGTAGAACAAGGAAAAGAAGCTTCATAAGAGTGAGAAAGCCAGACCTATCTTCCAAGAGCTAGTCTAAACCACCACTTAGTCTTCTGTTCAGGAAATTGGTGAAAGGTAGCTACTGAGATATAATCATGAAAACCGGAGTATTTTCATCCATTTTCCTTAACCCGAGAGCTTTGCAGACAGCTCTATGCATAAGAGTTATTGTAGCATTAATCACTTTGCTTTAGATATTGAAAGATTCAAATTTTGTTCTGAATTTTGGTACTTGATTATTCATGAGCATGGTAGTTTGGAGTACCCATAAATTTCTTCACACTTGTTTGCAAGAAAAGTTCTAAAATGCACATACTTATACTCACAGAGTCTTTTCAACTTTTGTGTGTGTGTCCATGCTCACACAATCTATCTTTTGATAATTCAATATATTGTATTGTGTCTAAAGCATGTACAATGTGGATATATGGTGTGTCCTTATTCCTTTAACAAAGAATAGCAGAACTACCTAGTAGCTAAGCTAGAAAATTTTCACTTGCCCCGTGGATGATACTTATCTCAGCGGTCACTTGCACAGGAGCAGGAACTATACTTATCACTCTGAGTCTCTAGATATGGAGGCAAAAACATTCAGCATGTGCTGAGTGCCTTTTTTGGATGTTTTTGTTCACACGCTTCCTTCACCAACCCCAGTTCGTTGAATCTCTTTTGCTCTTTGTAACAGTTTCACCAGTTTCCTGGAATCGTCGTTTAGTGACTTTTCTTTGATTTTTACCCTAGAGAGTTGTCTGCATCTTTGTTCGCAAATTGCTGCTGAAATGATTTCTTGCTTACAGCAATTAAACAGCAATTGATGCATCTTCCCCTGGAGTGTGTCTTTAGCTGTTTCTCGCACTTGCTCTGAGGAGTGCAAAGCATTGAGTTAGTGAAAATTGACTCCTTTAATGCAGTATATAAACTGAAACAACTTCGGTGAATCAGTTTAAACTCTTGAATAACTCTGATTGTTACTTCTACTTGTCAAAAACAGACAAAATATATCTGATTGTACTTCTCTAGCACATGCTACATTTACTGTTCTCCACTTAGATCTCACGTTTTTACTGTCAATTGCAGCGAAACATATCGCTACTTTGATCTTCCTTTTTGTTCTCCAGGTCAGGTTCATTTCTCTGCCCTCTCTTGCTCTAATATCTTTGGCCCTTTTTAGCTTTTATTGTTGACGACATTTTAACAACCATTGGAATATATATCTATTCATGCTCTTGCTTTAGGTCATGTAAAAGATAAAACTGAAGCTCTTGGTGAGGTGTTGAATGGAGATCGTTTAGTCACTGCTCCATACAAACTTGACTTCACAAATGATCGAGAAACCGAGGTAGTTTGCAAGAAGACATTGTCAAAGGAAGAAGTTGCAAGATTCCGTGATGCTGTTGCCAAGGACTACTACTTCCAGATGTTCTATGATGACCTTCCTATTTGGGGTTTCATTGGTAAGGTAGATAAGGAGGGGAAAGCTGACCCCAGTGAGTACAAATATTACCTATTTAAACATCTTCATTTTGACATCCATCACAACAAAGACCGTGTGATTGAAGTCAATGCACGAACTGACCCCAATGCGCTAGTGGACATAACTGAAGATAAGGAAATTGATGTAGACTTCATGTACTCTGTAAAATGGAAGGAAACAGAAATCCCTTTTGAGAAAAGGATGGAAAAGTACTCGCAGACTTCAGCTTTACCACATCATTTGGAGATCCACTGGTTCTCTATCATTAATTCTTGTGTCACAGTTCTGCTCTTAACTGGTTTCCTTGCTACTATTCTGATGCGCGTCCTTAAAAATGACTTTGTCAAGTATGTAACAAAAACTTTGTTGGGTAATATACTTATTAATTAAGGAGCTTGTACTTATCCTATGACATTTACTGTTTTGGTTAAAGATATGCCCATGATGAGGAAGCAGCTGATGACCAAGAAGAAACTGGGTGGAAGTACATTCATGGTGATGTGTTTAGGTACCCGAAGCATAAGTCACTTTTTGCAGCAGCCCTGGGTTCTGGCACACAGTTGTTTACCCTGTGAGTATGCATGCCTATAACATTGGTTTATTTAGTTCTAGATTTGCATAGTCCATTCAGTTCTTGATAAGTTTCTTTGACAAATGTTAATTCTTGCCGCCTCTTTTTCTCAGGGCAATTTTCATATTTATACTTGCGCTTGTTGGTGTGTTTTACCCCTACAACCGAGGAGCTCTTTTCACAGCTTTGGTGGTTATTTATGCTCTTACATCAGGAATTGCAGGCTATACTGCAGCATCATTCTATTGTCAACTTGAAGGGAAAAATTGGGTAAGAAAGTATGGGGAGAACTATTTTGGTGGTTGTAAAGTAGCTTTCCTGCAAGTGCATCTCTTATTTTGTTTACTCAGATTCCTTATTTTCATCTTTTTATTCTAGTTAGTAGAGGTCTCCTAGTTTTGACATGGACCAGTCATGATAGGATTTTTAATAGTAAGGTGTAAACTTCCTCCGCGAATTTAGTTTACCAGAGTGTATTCTGCGGTACAAGTCTTGTTTCATGGGAGGGGAAATGGTGGACTCTATTTCCTAAAGATCCTTCTGACATAGGAGATCTTGGACAATGCATCCCACAATAGCTTAACTAATTCTTTTGCCTCTACAACAACAATCTTTTTAGCCGTACGGCAAAAAAAAACTTTTGGCAGCACACCCTAGCATATTTCAAAAATGATTCTATTAACATTATTACCCCTTAACTTAAAGCAACCTATTCTTCTATTTGGTTCTGTTGGATCTTGGATGAAAGAGTACATGAATTTTACTTTTTAGGTGGATTATGGAAGGTGGAGAAGATGTGTCTTGACTAGAGGGTCGGACAGGGGAGGAAAAGAAGGTAAAGACTTGAATAAAGGAGTAAAGAGGAAAAACAGAAAGAGGGGTTTACTGCTGAGTGAGCAAGAGATTTTGAGGAGTTGGAAATAAGAGAGATGGAAGAAATTGAGAAAGATGGATAAAGATAAAATTTGTTTGGGGTGGGGGAGAGGGGGGAGGTGTTAAGTATGATTTCGTTCGAATTTAAAATTTAGTAGAAATGTAGTGGAATTATGACTAAAGGCAGTTACCAAACCACAATAGAATTATATAAGTTTTGAGAGCATAAGATAGACTTTTGTATTGTAAATGAGGAGCTTCTCTTCCTTCAGTTAGCATCATCTTTGGCCTTCCCTTGCAACATCAATTGCTGCGCCTTAATCCAAACTTATGAAGGGTCAGTTATATAAATTTTCATTGTCCTTTACGCTTCATCTGGACCTGTTTCATCCCATTACAGAAACTTGTCTTTAAGACAAATTATGTGACTAAAACTAGAGGTTATTCACATTTACGCCAACGTACAAATCTGTAAAAAAAATGTTATTTTAAAGCACTCTTAATTTAAGTGTACGCACATGGCCAAACCTTAATTCCAATTGGTTGGTATCACCTCTATGGAATTTTGCTTCTGATTTTATTATGCTCTTTTCTAAGATTGCATGAATTCTCCCCCTCTCTTTCCCCATCTTTTGCCTTGCAACTTATGATCATTGAAACCGAATTCAGTTGTTCCCAACAATTAATGTAGTGAGCTGTGGGTGTATCTTTCGCGTTTATAATTACTTGAGATTCTTTGCTTAGTTTCCAGTAGAAAGAGGAAAATGTGTACTTGATAAATTCAATTTCTTTTACAGGTAAGGAACTTGTTGTTGACAGGAGGTCTGTTCTGTGGGCCGCTGCTTCTAACTTTCTGCTTCCTTAATTCTGTTGCAATTGGTTATCATGCCACTGCAGCACTTCCTTTTGGTACCATCGTGGTCATTTTCCTCATATGGGCCCTTGTGACATCACCATTGCTTGTCTTGGGAGGAATTGCAGGAAAGAATAGCAAGGCAGAATTTCAAGCTCCAACTCGAACAACGAAGTATCCGAGAGAGATACCACAATTACCATGGTATCGCGGAGCTCTTCCTCAGATGGCAATGGCTGGGTTCTTGCCTTTCAGCGCTATCTACATTGAACTCTACTACATATTTGCCAGCGTGTGGGGTCATAGGATTTACACGATTTACAGTATCTTATTCATAGTTTTCATCATTCTGATCATTGTCACTGCATTTATTACGGTGGCTTTGACATACTTCCAACTTGCTGCGGAAGACCATGAATGGTGGTGGAGGTAAGTTAATAGTACTTAATTGATCCAATTCTTTTCAAACAGTCTAAGGATGCAAAGCATGAAATGAGTTCTAGACACTGTACTTTTGGTGAATGCATCAAAGGATTATACTTTCCCAGGCAATCGTACATAGAACTCCAAATGTTCCTTGTGTATTGCATGTTAATATGTGACTAATAAATGCTGCACTATCATGCCAAGTATTTGTCAAGTCTCTAACATATGTTGATCTTCTAGGTCATTCGTTTGTGGTGGATCAACCGGCTTGTTCATCTATGGCTACTGCCTGTATTACTATTATGCCCGATCAGACATGTCAGGTTTCATGCAAACCTCATTCTTCTTTGGTTACATGGCTTGCATTTGCTATGCCTTCTTTCTCATGCTTGGAACTGTTGGTTTCCGAGCTGCTTTGTTTTTCGTCCGCCACATATACCGTTCAATCAAGTGCGAGTAAGATGCAGAATTCCACATTAGCCTGGTTCAACCGGTAAGCTTCTCGTTTTGCTTTCAACTTTTTTTATCCCAACACATCTACACACACCTATGTTACTCAGATCCTCCAAAGATGTCAACAGACCCCTTCCGGGATCCTCCAAAACCAAAAAATAACGCATTTATTGGAGGATCTGAGCAACATAACTCGTAGACTGTAGAATACATCAAGTTTTCATCTGGCTAAACTACACGCGATGTTCATGGAAGAATGCAACAGGGGCTTGTGTTTTTGGTGTAAAAATCGTCAACGTGCTTGGAGTAGTGCAACACATGTTAGATCCATTTAGAATTTGTGTGGAGCAACAAAGCAGAAGAAAATATGTTGACAGAAGAAGTTCGAATCAATGCTCTTTTTATTGAGTTTAGAACAAACTTACAAAGAGTCTATAATTAGTTTTTAGCTTCAGCTTAATTTTCCTAGTTTTAACCTTCTTAATATATAGAATATGGTTCTGTTATTTACATCCTAAGCTGTTTATGTTCCAATTTGTCGTGTTATTCATACTTGTTACAGTCACCTAGTTTTCAACGCTTCAAACCGTTTGTTATTAGAATGCAAGTTATATACACCATCATCTTATCGCGCAAATAAATAAAAAATAGCAGAAACTACCAACGATTTACCTAACATGTGAGGTTTGGAGAGGGTAGAGTGTACGTAGAGAGGTTGTTCTCGAAAGACCTTTGAAAATGACGTTTTGTTTGTGATAAACCTTTGACTAAATGAAAGCAAAAAACACAACATTTATGAGCTTTGTCAAATCTAACAAACATAAATTATTAAATATTTGATTAAAGATTAAAAGGTTTGATCTTTTTACAAACTTATAGACAAACTATTTCTATGATTTTCTCAAGAAATAATAGTTTGCTTTGTTCATACAACACTATCACGTTATTTTGCATTACACATAAATAAATATTCGATAAAATGCACAAGTTTTCTCTAGACTATGACTAACACGTCTCAATATATATATACCTAGTATGATTTTGCGGGTTTTGTTTCCACCATCAATATATTATATATATATATGTATACGAGTTTCTTAGTATAAATAGTTTTTTTCTACTTTTTTTTTATTATATACTTTTATTAAAACTTTGAACCAGTAGAGAAAATACAACAACAAAAATAAATAAAATCAAACTCCACCAGTGACACTACCATTAAAGATTTCAATAGTGTCACCTTGACATACATGATGCCATCTAAATGAACGATCATCATCCATAACATTTTGTTTATAAATAAAAAAATACCCTTCTTGTGGAAGCTCTAATTCCAATTTTTGCAACTCTTTCTTCAAATGTCCCACATTGTCTGATGGATTAACTTCGATCGGAATTTTATTAGTGCCACATTTCGATAAAACCATAATTCTTAATTTCTTCAATCCATTTCCGTTATTATTCATGGGCGATCCCGAAGAAGTAGTAAGTTTTGTTGTTGTTGTTGTTGGTGGTGGTGGTGGTGAGGACACCATGATGGTACTAGGTTTGATACTAACATTGATTTCTGAATTATTTATAAGTCCATATTCTTGAAGAGTCTGATGATCCATCATTTCGATTCCATTTGCATGCATGACTAATTTACTCACATGTACACCTTCCATATCGTGAATTCTCTCTTTTACCCTCCTAACCCTATCCGTATCGTCCACCTCTAACACGACTCCGAGTTTGGATATTGGCATTTTGAAGAGGAGTTGGATTTTTCTCGTTAGTGATGATGGAGATGGTTGTTCTGCCTTGACCGCGTTATTCTTGTCAGGTTCGGATTCTACAACGAGTTGAATGTGAGAACGATCGAGGATATCAGAATAATGAACATTTAGATGATCGTCTAACACGTTACCTTTGAAGATAAGAGTTTGTTTTGGTATAGGAATACCTTGATGTCTTTGGATCTTATCTTTGATCTCTAAAATAGTGTCAAAATATCCAACTTCAATTGCAAATGACCTTCCTTTTGTTGGTTGAATGAATACATCCATTTACACAAGTTATGATGTTTCGTGCTGTGAAAATATACTGAATATGTTATTGCTATGCTGCTAAATCTTCACTATTAATTTAGTAAAAAAAAACTAAACTATTGCGTAATTTAAATTAATAAGTAATAGGGTACCATAAATATAGGTGAAAGAAGATTCAACAAATTTCATTTTGCTACTAAATATATGGATAGTTACAACAATATCCGATAATGCATGAGAGTCATTTGTTTGCTTCTTTTTTTTCCCCACTTTTTTTTTTTTTTGTCAAAATTCTATTTAATTACTGTTTTCGATAACATAATTGTGATTTAAATGTACAAGTTGCTAAATGCTATTAATATATGAGCAACTTTCACATATAGCAAATAAAAAATTTATATTTGTATGTTATAGCAAAGTTTGCATAATTGATTTCCATAGCAAACATAGAAACTAAAAAATTTATATTTATATGTTATAACAAAGTTTGCATAATTGATCTCCATAGCAAACATAGAAACTGTATAATTCGCTATACATATAAAGTTGAAGCAAATTGAATTGTATATGTATATGATTGTCTATTATGCATATGCATTTGTAAATATGGCAAGCGAGATTCGGAGAGGGAGGAGAGAGGCGAGCGAGAGAGGGAGAGAGTTGAATTGTATATGTATATGATTGTCTATTATGCATATGCATTTGTAAATATGGCAAGCGAGATTCGGAGAGGGAGGAGAGAGGCAAGCGAGAGGGGTCAGAGAGTGGGAGAGAGCTGAATTGTATATGTACATTGGTTAGATAATTGTATATTATACATATGTATTTGTATATTCAAGTGAATTATACATATACAAACGTGACTAATTATACAAACTTGAAGTCAGTCCACGTAATTAATGTATAATGTTAGTCGCGAATGATAATTATAGCAAATTATAATTACGATGAGTAATTAAATAGTATAAGTTTACTTGATTAAGTATTTTTCCCAAAAAAGAATGAAAGAAAGAAAGTCTCTAATTATAATTTTAACAATAAATATTTTGGATCTTAGAATAAAAACTAGGGCAACTTTCATATATAGCAAACAAAAAATTCATATTTGCATGCTATAACAAAGTTTGCATAATTGCGCTCCATAGCAAACATGAAACTGTATAATTCGCTACATATATACAATTGTATAATTCGCTGCAATTGTATAATTCGTTATCCTATTTCACTGCAATTGTATAATGCACAATTGTATAATTTGCTGCTTATTTCGCTGCAATATTTTTATAAAATTTGCTTTGCATACAGTTGAATCGAATTAAAATGTATGTATATTGCATAATTATAAGTGTGTAGCAAGAAGTTATATGTTTTTCTCTCGCTTTATACAAAAACAGAAACACAATATATACACTTCTGTTGTATAAAGTTAGAGAAAATTGTATTTCACTGCAATTATATAATTCGCAATTGTATAATTCGTTGGCCTTTTTCTTTGCAATATTTGAAGTAAAATGTTTGTAAATTGTATAATTAAGTGCATAAGACGAAGATATATATTTTTGCATGTGTATATACAATTTTCTCTCGCTTTATACAAAACAAAAATAGAATTATACATTTCTGTGTATAAATCGAGAGAGGCGAGCGAGAATGGAGAGTGGCGAGCGAGATTTTTGGGAGAGAGACGCTGACATATTTTAGCTAACGTTTGCTATCGAGCACAATTAAATCAAACCCTAGCTATTCCATTTATTTTAGGTTATTAGTTTGCTATTATATACAATTTTGCCTAAAAACTATTCAAACTTTTATATATATGTAAAATATAGTAAATTGCTCATAACAATATTCAAGATAATATATTGCAAGCACGTGATTAAATAAAACATACCAATGGTATTACCCTTAAAGATCTTAGTACTATATAGTATATTTAGACAAAATCACGGAGTAATTATAAAAATTTTTAATTATTTACGGATGATTCTGAAGAATTTGTTGTCGGTGGGGATGCAATGGTGCCAGACCAGATACTAACATCAATTTCTGAATTATCTGAAAATTCATAATCTGGTAATTCACACGCAGTATTAATTTACTCACTGCTATGCCTTTCATTTCGAAGGCTAACCGCCAACATCCACCTTTAACATGATAGCTAATTTGGTCAACGTTGGCATTTCGAGGAGGAGTTTGATTCTTGGACGTTCCGACTTAACCACTACATTCTTATTCCCTTCAAAATCTGTGACGAGTTGAATATGAGACCGGTCGAGAATATCAGAATAATGAACATTTAAATCATCGGCTAAAATGTTACCTTCGAAGATTAGGGTTTGTTTTGGTATAGGAATACCTTGATATTTTTGTATCTTCTCTTTTACCTCTAAAATAGTGTCAACTTCAATTGCAAATGAACTTCCTTTGGTTGGATAAAAGAACAAATGCATTTCACGAACAATAATATCTAAATTATCAAATTAGTTTATCGTCCAGAACTGAATTGTATAAAAAAAAATTTAGTCGTCAAAACAAAACTTTCAAAGTTAAATTTATAAAAAAAAAATGGTGAATGAATATTAAAGAAGATTATATTTTGGTACTAAATATTTAATAGTTTGTGGACAGTTATTTATTTATTTTTTCCACATTTGGTAAATGGTTTTTCTATTATTATTTTTTGGTCAAAATATTGAGATCTGTTTTTAGTCTTCTATTTAATTTATCATCTACTTTTTTCATTAGATAATTTTGATTCACCGTTTAATAAATATTCAACATTTTAAGAGTATCATTGGTTCATAATTATTAATTAGCATATAAATGGATACTGGTATCACTAAATTAGAGTTAATTAAACATGTTTTCCCTTAATTCATCATTTAATTAGCATAAGTATTTTCTTATTGGATCATATCCATTGACTTGTGGTATTTATAGAAAAATGATTAAAATTTTATTCTTATAACATAGAAGTTTAATTATATGACATGATTAAAGTTCTATATTTGGTCCATGGTATTTTTTCTTGATTTGATATTTGGCGTGTGATATTAATTGAAAATTGGCTAATTTAAATTCATGTCAAGTAAGTCCATTCAGGAGTTCACCAAGAATTTTTTGACCCTATTTTATTTCAATATAATTAATATTTTTCTTTCTTAGATCAATAAAATTAAGATTTTTTAGACTATATATTCTTTAAATTAAATCTCATATTTATCCCTTCACCAACATACAAATCATTATTATACTAAAAATGTTCTCGACAAATTTATGAATTTGTTAGTCACACATATATTTCTTTAATAGTTCATTACTAATAATATTTTTTTACCAAACCAAAAAAAAAAAGAATAATCAAGAGTTACAACTAAAATAATTATTGAGGGTTATACGTAGTAACTTTTTAAACATGTATTGGTGCTATTTTATTATAGATTATGAAAATAATTAAAGGTCTTAAATTTATTGAAACTCTAAATATCTTCGTATTGGACTCTATGTGTAAAAAAAAAAAGCAAAACAAGATCAAGATTAATAATATATATGTTATCTGTTAATTATCATAAATTATAATTTTGATCATTGTGTTATATGACTAAGCATATTTAGTTTTCAAATAATTAAAATATATATTTTTGACCTCATTATATAGTTGACAACTCAAAAAAACAAATGAATAAAAAATTAACACATATTTTTCAACCCATCTTTTAGGGATCCATCAAGTTGTTCTTCTGGAGTATATATACTTACTAGTTTTGACCCCAAATATTATATTTTGCCATATAATATTTCATTAGATTGTTTATAAATACCAAATATCAATTTAGAATAATTATAAAAACACTTGCCAAAGATTAGTTCCTAGTTATTTTATTTTATTTTTAAAACATATCATTCGTTTGCAAGTTTTTTTTATTTTTTTATTTAGTGTCAGATAATATTCATTTTGAAATCTGATTAATTTAAATTTGAGTTCAGACTAATCTTGTTTTAGAGGTAAATTGCTCTTTTATCACATGTGATTTCATTTTCATAACTCAAATACGAGACTTATAATTAAAAAAAAAACAATGACTTATAACTTTATCGCAATATTTGGTGGTTCATATATATTTTAGAGTTCATTAACCTAAATAAAGTACGATAATAAAAGCAAAGCATGTGAGTATACAAAAAGCAAGCACTACCAAAACTTAGTGGAAGAATGTATACCTAATTACTATTTTAATCAAATAAATTAATTAGCTTTGTCTTACAATAACTTATCTTCATCAAATTAAAGCAAAACCTGTAATTAACTTAGTATTATAAGTTTTGGATTAGTACCATCTATTTAAAAATTAAAAGAATAAAGAAAATACACTAATTAAGTTTAGTGGATGTGCTTTTCTAGGTGGTGGGCAACAAATGAGTGAGCACAAAAATTAATAAATCTTAATTTTTTTAGCTTTTAATTTTAATATATATATTTTTTATTTTCTTTATTATTCGTTTATTTAATATCTCACGAAAAGCAAGTTCAACAAGATATTTTTCTATTCGATTACATCGAGCCGCGTGCTAAGCGGCGGGGCAACGTGAAGATGTCGGTAATTTTTGGGATTAAGCCTTAAACTCTTGTGTTTAATCTGTTAATTAGTAGTGTTGGGTGTTAGGGTGTCACGTGTAAGTCTTGTGATGGACTTGGGGGACAAATAAATAAATAATTTCACATTAATTTAGAATTTTAAAAAAATTAACCTAGGATTTGGGGTTTCAGGATAGGTTAAATATTAAAAAAATGTTCTTGGGAACATTAAATCACGGAGATTGGTGGTTTAATTTGAACTAATATAGATCTTGCTCAAGATCGATTCAAAATGATATTTGATTTTTTAAAGATCAAATACTAATATAAGAAAGTTTAATATTATTCATCATTCGAGAAGTTATATAAGTTCAATTTTCTGTTCAAGACGAATAACTTAGAGTAGAAGAATTAATAGATATATAAAATTCGTTTCATTTGTGATTACAATTGTTTAATCTTCATACTCACAATTCATTCTAAACAATTATCCAACAAATAACTGTTTATTATAAAAAAAAATTCTTATACTTCAATTTTTTTTCTCAATACTCGATGCTTAGTAGTTAGTAGTATACTTTCGCTAGTCCCTTTTATATGATATTCTTTATTTTTTTAATAATCAGTTTTATTTTATACGATACTCTTATTATCTGTTATAATATGTTAAATTAGTGAATGAATGAAATTATATATACTATATGTATGTTATGGTAATTAGAGACATAGGGGACATGATGAAGACTAGTAACCTTATATATAATTAATTACATCTCTTTTTTTGTGAAACATTTAAAAGTGGGCATAGATTGAGAGAGAAAAGTGGAAGACATATTTTTCTCTTTTTTTTTGACAGATTGAGAATCTTTTGTGGGACTAACAACATAAAATGACTATGAAATGACTTGTACCATAATAACTCTCATATGTTGTTTTGCTTAATTCAAACATAGAATAATTCCCAACATTTGTATTTGTAGATAATGTAAATTTTTTTTTATACTACCCGATCAGGTCGAGTCAGATAAAATTATCAAACAAGGGGATACGAAAGATTGATACACTCCAAAAAGCTTCACCTATGTGATCGGTTATATCAATATCCGAGCTTTAGCTTTGCTTATATTCTTCACCAGAATCTTCTTGTATGTGATAGTCTTTTGCATGTGTTGGTTGAGATCATGTTTAAAAATTTAACTTTATCAGGTTTTAAGGATCTATTTGCACATTTCTAAATTCTTTTTCGTTCTGCCCTATAACCACGTACAACTAAAATACCTAAAAAGTGCAATTAATAATGAAAAACATATTTTTTTTATATTGTCGATATATATTAATGTAAAATCCTTTCTTGAAACATATAAAAAAAAATGTTAACAAACATACAATTAGAGTAATGTCATGCATGTTTCATATACTATAAACCAAATGCATGTTGTGTACTTTTTTTTTAATATTATTATTTATTAAACTCTAACATCCACTATAACCATCTTTTTCTCTGACTCTCTAATGTCCCACCATTGCCTTTGGCTTTCCCATAATTTAAATTATTTTAAACATTAAAAAAAATGATACCTACAACTCCACTCTTCAATTCCTCAAAGTTCCTTTTTTTCATGTATACTTTGAAATGTCCCATTAGAAATTAAACATCACCATATTTTGTCTTACAACAAGTCAACAAGAAGAAGAAGCTGGTTAGTTTGATTAATTTCTTGTGTTGTTTGTCATAGTTTTTATCTATGTTGTTTGGATTTTTCAAAAACGCTTGATGGATACGCGTTAGATTTTTCATAGTGTATTTTTGAAAGATCTGACACGGGTGCAACAACAATTTTGAAGAGTCTGAGCAACATAGGTGTTTTTGTAGCTTAGATTTCAATATATTATTGCTTTGTGTTAATCATTTATGTCTTTTTCATTAATCTTTTGTTTGATATCTTGAAATTAAATGGTTTCCTCTTGTTTGTAGGTTGATTAAGTTCATAAAAAAAAATCATCAAACTATTTGCAATTTTCTTGTAGATGAAAATCTAGGAGAATAAAATATGTTTTGCTTTTTTTTAAGTTATAGACTATGTTGCTTGAACATTCCAAAAATGTTGTTGTACCTTTGTCGGATCTTTCAAGAATATACAATATTTTGGAGTATTTAACGTACATCTGTCGATATTTTTTAAAGAGTCTGAGCAATATATATAGTTTAATACATATCTTTGTGGATGTTAGTCTTTGTGGAATAAAGATCTAATATTAACAAGAGTGCTTTGTTGTTAATTTTGCTTAATCAACTTATTATAGTTTTGTTAATTTTCTTGAATTTATTTATAACAAGTCATATTGGATAAAGACAAGTGTTTTTAGTAGAGCGACGTGAATAGTGATGATTCATATAACTGGACTTGGAATTTAGATATATTAGTAGTTGTTGATGTGTAGATTTAATGACTCATATTGAGTCAGCTTACTTACTAAGTTATTTGTTAAGTATTATCACAACTAGACGAGGTGGAGCCATGATTTTAACGTTATGTGTTCAAAATTTTAGGATAGTGACATTATGTGTTTGTTACCGAGTTTACATATTCAGTATATTTCTTGATACGAATACATAATTTGGAGTTTGGTCTAAAACTACTTTGTTCAGCCGGACCTCTCTAGCTGAACTTCTAGCTCCGCCTCTGATCTCCGACTCTCTGATGACTATATTACCTAATTTATGGTGTTGTTAGTCCTTTGAAAAAAGTGATCCCAAAATGGTAGGTGTTGGTGTTAATTAGTCTCACTCATATGTGTGGTTTCCCTTTGATAGTGTGAGATTTAGTTCTAAATGTACATGAAACAGAATTATATTTGTATATATTGATGAAAGAAGGGATTCCCGATGCATGAAGCATCTCGTGTTTATGCAGGATTCAGGGAAAGGCCACACCACGAGGGGTGCCACGTAGGTGGCCTACCCTGAACCAATCCGTTGTTGATAATGGACTAAAAAATTATAGAATTCGCGAGGTTCAAACTGTACTAGAAACTTGATTCTTGAATTTGTTTCATCAGCATGTTGTTTACATAAGAGTATATGTTTACTAAAAAAAACCTTTTTGTTGTTATATGCAGGACAATGTTACTAATTTGATTCAATTGATCACTACATAGTGTTAATAAGTTGTTAATATTTAACCAAAGATGCAAACACCAAGATTCAATCTTGAAGTTGAGGCCTTGTTTGAAGATGACTCCGATATTACTAGCCAAGTCGCATCTAACATATGTGTGGGTGAGACGTTCACGGACCCTCCCAAGAACAGAGTTATAGATTTCACACAGTTAAGTTCAGAACACGTGTCACTTGACTTGTCTCTTAGCCAGGATTCGATAGGCGGTTTTTCAGTATCTAGCACAAGTGAAAGCAGCAATGAACTTGCAACTACACAAACATCGGTATCAGGACCGGGGTTTCAACGAGTTTTTAGTTGTAACTTCTGCCAGAGGAAGTTCTATAGTTCACAAGCACTTGGTGGACATCAGAATGCACATAAAAGAGAACGAACGCTAGCTAAACGTGCTATGAGAATGGGCGTTTTCTCTGAAAGGTACGCTAACTTGGCGTCTTTACCTTTACATGGATCTACAATAAGGTCTTTAGGGATCAAAGCTCATGCTTCATTACACCAGATGTCTGCACCAGCAATTAGGCCACTCGATTTTAAAACGAGTGCAAGGTTTGAGTATGGTAATCGCCAGAGTCCACCTTTGTACATGGAAAATGATGATCAATTAGTACTATGGCCTGGCAGTTTCCGTCAAGTGACGAATCCTGGTACCTCTCACACTAATTTTTCACTTGATGGATGTTCAAATATGACATTGACTCCATACGTCGAAAAAGATGAACCAATTGCACCAGATCTCACTCTGAGGCTTTGAGATATTTGACAGCAAATAGCCAAACATCATTTAGCTTTCTTGTTTCTATTTGTACAGTGAAATATATTCTACTATGTGTGGATACTATGCACAATGCCTGCTTAGGCCCTATGTTGCTCGGACTCTTCAAAAACATGTTGTCTGGTGCTTGTCGAATCCGATACTGGTGCTGCAACATTTTTGGAGAGTCTGGACAACATAGTTCAGACCAGTGTGATTTGAACATTACAGGATTGTTTTACAATTTGAATGTATTAGTTATGACTTGTAACGGTTATCATACTTCGTATTTTCTCCTTCTATGACTGTATAACTTTTTTAAGTATCGACAACTATAACTCTCTGTGTGTTGATGTCTAGACAAGTTCAAGTTACTTTCAACTATGTGCTTATTCACATGAAGTTAGCCTCAGAGCACATACAACATTGAGTTATGGATTGAGACTTCAATGTTATAATTGAAGACCAAAGTGTATAAGGTCCTGCCTTGTGAAGTTTGAGGCCTAACACTAAGCTCTATTTATGCGCGGTGTTACATTTGTGTGTAAAATACATGTGTTACAACTTGTGAGTATATATTACATGTTGTACTCCGACTGTATGAGCATGCTCACATGATCGGTCTCACACCTGAATAAAGGATAAGAATTGTGGTAGGTTAACAAATAACGTAAACTAGTAAATTTATGATGAATCTTCAAAATAGATCGTTGTTGTTGTTATGCAACTTATGCAAATAACTAGAAACTCCTAGTACAACAAAAACTCCCAATTGAGAAAATCCTAGGAAGGTTCTTGTACTAGTTAAGAACTTTCTGTTATCAACTATATTGTTCAAACTCTGTAAAAGTATTGTTACAATCTCTAAAAGTAGACTGTTTTTGAAAATCCAAGACATGACCAATTGACCACATTTTTAAAAAATCTGAACAATTTAGATTATCAGAGTTATAAGTACAAGGTTAAAGTTGGAAATATAAAAAAAAAGTGGTGGACCCCTTTGATGTTAAATATTATAGTACCAGTGATTTTGACAACAAACAGAGAAAAACTTTCACATGTTATGTAAATCATACTAAGGGCCACTTTAGAAATGGACTGTTTGATTGGAACATGACAACAAGACTAAATCGATCGTAGTTACTGTTAGGTTATTAGCATTTTAATATTAATATTTAACATATTAAATTGTTTTATTTTAGAATTATAAGAATGATCATTGGTAGGCATTTGAGTTTTAAACAATCAATTTAATCATGTTATTCATCTTTGACTTAGTAGCCATGTAATGCCGTTACTTTTGGCTTTATTGGTTGAATTCATTATGAGATAAAAATATTCCAATAAACATTGGAATGGATAATTTCTACATCATCCAATAGCATTAGTTGTTATCACTTTATTTCATTCTTAATTTCTCCATTACTCTTTGTAACCTATGTAACTCCTATTGTAACCTATGAAACTCCTAAGGCCATTATCTTCACTATTTACTACCTCCATTATCTTCCTATTCATTGTTAGGAAGACTTCTTGTAGTATAAATAGTGGTAGTCTTCATTTGGTTTGTACACACAAAAAACACAAGAGAAAACAAAGAGTGGAAGAGTTGGTCTAAAAGAGAGTTCTTATTAGTTGAAGGGAGGTGTTTTTTTTTTGTGGAGCTTTGGACTCAACTCTTGTTCAGAGTTGTTGAGTTATACTTTGTGAAGGCTGTTGTATCCTGGAAGGGACAAGTTAAAGAGGACTACTGCTGGACCGGTGAAAACATTTGTTGTAGTGGGCTTGAATCTGCTTAAAGAGAGCGAGATATCCGCGCCTCAGCCTGAAGAGATTAATTTCTTCGTTTTATTTTCAATTGTAATCTTGCAATTTTATTATCTTGTAAGTTTTTCACTAACAGTTAGTATTAGGGGCAACGTGAAGAAGGGGGACTCAAAACAATTCAATGAATTCGAAAAAATTGAAGAAGAACTAATATAAGATGAAAATCTCATTTATTCTCGTTATGCATGGGTCCGGAGAAGAGTATAACCAAATTTATCTAAATTCAATGCTTTAATAACTTGACTTTGGAAAATTTCGACCTACTAATAATGATTTGCACTATTCCAAATTGGACTGCTTTTTGTTGTTTTATTTTCCAAGTGTGTCAATTGTATACTTATAGTGATTCTACTATCATACCTGTGACTTATTAAATATAATACTATAAGTCACATAAGACCCTTTATAAATAAGGTTAATCGAGAATCGAAAAAAGTTTATTGTTAAAAAGCATTTTTTCATCGCCTATCCCTACTTACCTCATGTATTTGAGAAAGAGGTCGGAAATAGAAAAAAAAATAAGTTCCACACATATAAAACACGTAGATGGACCGAAGCGAGTAATTTTTAAAAAAGAATTGAATATATAATTTTAGCTATAATCGTCTTTTTATTAGAAAAATACATAATGAAAAGAGATGTTAATCAACTCTATAACGCAAAAATGATCATAGAGTTTGAATTTTAATACTTCCACATAATACAAAGACTTTTTAGTTTGGCACAATAATAAAAAAAAAATGCAATTATTTTATAACCAAATGATGTAACATTTTAGGCAATCATAACAAAGACAGGCCAAATGGTCCAATTTATTTATGAAACTAATTAAGGAATGGAAGAACATGACCTCTTTGTCCAATTTGAATAAGACATATTATAAGGACATGACTTAATTAATTATTTAAAATTTAATAGATTACTGGATATTCAATAAATTTTATAAGTACAATTAGAAGATAATAAAGTATGACAGATATAACTCTTATCTCATGGTGCTCAATAAAAAAGGTAATTTTCGAAAGATAAATTATAGAGACTTGATAAATTACGTGATTCAAATATATCATATAAACTATATATTTGGAAATCATCATTTTTCATTTTTTTTTTTGGTTTGATTAAAGTTTTGATTTCTTTTTTATAACTTGAGTTGGCTATATTAAGACCAAAATAGCCGCCTCCATTAAAATATCTTCTAGCAGAAGTCCCTGCCCCAGGTGATTCATTTTTTTCTTTATTTTTCCTGTCCAATTGAATAATAATAATAATAATAATAATAATAATAATAATAATAATAATAAATACTTTAATATATTGCACACGAACTTTAAAGATATTTTCATCATCGAGGTATATATGTAATGGGATGTATGGAAATCCTTCCTTTTCAATAAGATATTTCACATTCAAAGTGTTGAGAATTAAATAAAAATTGATTAGAAATATTTTTTATTAACTGAGTTTTATATTATATGAATTTAAATTAGTTTAGAAATATCTTTTATTAACTGAGTTCTATATTACGTGAATTTGATTCTCATAATTGAGATGGTCAAGTATTAAAAATTAAAAATTATCAAGGAAACACTTCTCATCAAGGAAATAATATGTAGTGGTAGTTAAATATTCATGCGTACACATTTTATTTTTTTTTGAAATAATAATGGCGTACCTAATTTATGGCACGTCTACTTTATTTAATAAATTTTAATTTTAAATAAATAAATAAATAGATATTTCGTAAAAACTTATATAGGATTTTAAATATGATAACCTAAGCTTATCTTTAATTTTCGAAGCATTTTATCGATTACTGTATTCTTTTTCATCTTTAGATTTAGATATATACAATAAATGTTTTTAATTTAAATTTTATCCTTCATTTTAAAATTAGGAACAAAGGACAAATATACCATCGAGCTATTGTAAATAGTATGTAGATACCCTCCGTCATATATATTTTTGGGATATTAATGCATGCCTCTACCGTTCAAAACTTAGAACACATATATCCTTCACTCTAACGGGAGATTAAATAGGAATACGTGGCACAATCTTATCCGTCGAGTCGATGGATAAGATTATGACAATATGTATTATGTTTGTATAAAGATATATATATACTCTAATTTTTAAACGTCAAAGCAATCAACTTTCTAAAAATATGATAAAAAATATTTACCTATCATTAACAATATTTCAAAAATATATTTGTCATTAAAACTACGTCATACTAGATATAATGCTCATAGAATTATTAAAACAGGTGTCTCCGATAGTTTAGCCAATATTAGACCAAAAAATATTAGAAGTGATATATGTAGGCATAGCTTTTCGAAGAATACAAAATAATGTCTTTTTTAAAAAAAAATAGATTTAATGAATATCTAAAATAACTAGTAAATTACAATTCTATTGTATAACTATTTTGAGACATTGTTTGTATTTTTTTCTCTCTGATTTGCAAAGCTTCTTTTAAATAAAGTAAATATTTTAATTAAGAAATATATTTTAAAAAATTTTTATACTAATGATATATATATAGCTTGAACCAAAACATCTCTATAGGATTTTGTTAGTCGTCACTTTTTTTAGGTCAACTAAATTATAATTTATATTCAATGTATTGGATGTATTAATTGATGTCACAATCGTGCCATGTTATAACTATGTTGTCTTCCCTAATTTTCTGGTAAAAAGCAAATTTGTTTTATGTTTTTTTTTATTTATGTCTGATATTTATATTTGAATTTCATTGTTATATGATTATTTTTTTTAAAAAAAATTATTTTTAACTTTGAACTTTCTTTAACACATAATAGTTATTGTGATATTGATGGTTTAGATTTATTTTTGAACTAAAAGTGTTAAAGAGAATAATACAAAGAAAAAATAATGATGTAATGAAATATTCAATCAAATAAAAAGACTCGATTTTTTTCCAAATACGCATATTATTTATAGGATACTGTTAAGAGGAACTCTAACCGTTGTCTCAACTGATTTTTTTTTAAATTAAAAATTATTAGATCTTCTTTAAGATCAACAATGTCTCGAAGATAGATTGAATGAATTAACTATATTATCATTTGAATGGGAATTATTAATATAAATTAATAATAAAACAGTACTTAGTGACTTTACATCTAAAATAGCTAAAACAGTATATTTTAAATAAAAGTACATAAAATATAAAAAAGATAAATTAAGATCCATCTTATAAGTTTCGCTTTAGGCCCCTAACGTTGTTGAGTTAACCCTGTTTGTAACATGTTTTTTTTTAATTGAAATTTAATATTGCTGGTTAAAAATGAGAAAATCTCAATTTTTTCACGGTTGTTCCTAGTGATAAAAAGCAAATTGCTAACTTTTTCCCTATTTTCCATTATCACGAGTCACGAAGAAATCATTTTAAAGTTGTATTATACTAATCACGTGGATTTTTAAAAAATATATATTAATAGTAAATATTACATATGATAATAGGTAATTTATTACATTTATCATATATATATATATGGGGAAAATA